TTGCTGTTACTGTTTTTTAAATTATTGCTGTGTGGTATTCTGCTGTACAATTTGAATACTTGAAGATCTGTTGATGTTTTAAGTTTAATGTGTTTAAATGCCGCCTTGAACATTCACACAGAAAGTCAGAATATAAATGTTTTACCTAATGTAAACTCAAATACAAGACTTGTACAAACTGAAAATAGGTGCCAGTTGGCTATGCTACTATGTTGTCTGAATTTTAAAAAAACTTGACCAATTGTCAGAGGTGCCATGCTATACTCCCAGCTGAGGTCTCTCTATCTTCCAAAAGCTATGAAGGACAGAAGAAAAGCTTCAACCAAGCATTGCCTTATTCAGCCTCTCCCACCACAGTCTGCCGAAACTGACAACACCTGGCCACTGAGTGTCAAGTTGTCTTTATCTGAATTTTATCTGTTTTATTGTACTTTTAGTTACTGTACACCACCTTGAGCCCGCTTGTCAGGCAAGGCGGGATAGAAATCTAAATAAATACATAAATAATAAATAAATGTATCCCAGAAGGAGATTTGTATTTTTGTTTGATTTGCTTTGAGAGTGAAAAGGAGTTAAACCTTTAAAATAAATAGCAGGGGTACAACTTGCTTTCTTCTTGGCATGAACAAGAAAGATAGCTCCAAATCATCTGTTGCAGATAATACTCCTAAAAAACACATAATAATGAGTTTTCCAAACTTTGTGCCCTCAGGGAACTATCACTCATAGGAACTGGTCCACCAAGTAACAGCTGAGACTCTGCCATGAAATTCCTGACTGCTGCAGAGAATTCTGGGACATGATCTAGCATACCTTCTCAGTTCTTCTAAAGAATTCAAGGTTTCTAGGAATACAAAACTGAGCTCTGTGTTATAGGAGACACCACTTCCACGTGGCCTGGATTAAACAAGTCCAGCAGCACCAGTATCGGAGACTGTGCAATAACTGGTACAATCTGTTTTTAATTCTTTGTTTTGATGTTTTAATTAACTATTTACTATTGTGTTTTTTTGTGGTGCTGAATTGCCTAATTATTTCTTGTGACCCGCCTGAGCCTGTTCAAGGGGAGGGCGGAAAATAAATTAGAAAAATAAATAAATAAATAAATAAATAAAAATAATAGTATAAACAGCATAAAATTTTGCATGGACCACAAAGCCCTGCCCTCCCTCACTGTTGTTCCACACATCCCCTTTTCAAAGTGCGTGGCAAGCTGTGCATGCTTTATGGGGATTCTCAGAAAAATAGAGTGAGAAACACATCTGCTACAGTTTAAAAGCAAGTTCAAGTAAATGTCTGTACTGTGTGTACATGGCATATAAAAGGCCATGCACACACAGGTCTCCAAAGGTTGCCGATTCTCTAGGGCCACAACTCAAAAGACTCTGACCTAAATTCTAAATCAATTTTACCCCTTGGTTGGAAGGGGCTTTGCTCCAGAGACAGCAAGAAATTTCCAAATTGCTTAGTTCCCTGTTGGCATGTATGACTGCAAGTCAGTAAGTGACAAGTGTATTGTCTAGTTTAGCCCAGAGACCACCACTGAATCAGGACTATCTCCTGATACCACAGGGTCAATTCATTCCTTGGATTCTTCCTCTGGTCCCTAGGCAGACAATCAACACCTTTCTGATTTGAGTTTTGCCATGCTCTGGCATCTAGTTGAATGCAAGTGACAGTGGTTCAATAAGCTCCCACAATTCAAAAGAGAGGGAAGTGGATGTTGCCCTCTTCTCTCAAGAAGGACAACCCCTGTCCTCATCTACAGAAAACTGTCAGGTGTCTATCTGGATGGGTGTGAGATGTTATCTGGATGGGTGTGAGATGGGCCCACCACCTATCCCTGCGAATAACTTGGGGACATCAGTTTGAGAAATGTGGTTTCATGGGACTTTGCCAATCCTGATAGTACTGGCATCAGAAAATCTTCTGAGCCGATTAATTTACTTCAAAAATTTGTTTCCGCCCTTCCAGATCAAGGTGGCTGACAACAATAAAACAAAAAACAAGCACACAATAAAAACAAGCACTGAAGAAACATGATTCAAACAATCCAACACGCCAATAAAAACCACCACTAAAAGCAAGCCAAGGCATAAAAGCACATAAAATGAAGCAGTCTAAAATGATACTGATGGCACAGCCCTCAGGCTAACAGTCATCCAAACTCCTGCCCTTCAAAAGAGATGAGGCCAACAGTGCCCTCATCCCATAAAACCTAACAGAGGTTCATTTTCACACTGGCCAGATGGGCATGAAAGAAGCCCATCCTCTGTTCTTACAGGAAACCAGCAGAATCCCCCCCCAAAAAAACGTTAGTAACTCTTTTGAACTGAACAAGGGAGGGTATCAAATTCAGATGCTATAAAGTTCTGGGCTAAACTAGTTCTAATGAAATCAATGCAATTTATTTCAAATAAAATGTCATTAGCGCAACCAGAATCAATCTGCAAATTGAAAATGATATTATTATTCTCCCAATGCAAAATTTAAATTTTTACACCACCATTTTAAGAAGCTAATAGAGTAATTCGGTTAATACATTCTATCTGTAACCTGGTCTCTGGCATTTATGCTTACATTCTACTGGTTGTTGCTCACAAAAAACTCAATTCTTGGTGTTGGGCAGGTAGAGGAAGAAGAAAGAAAGTGGACTGGACAAAATTTACAAAAGAAGAACTATTTAGTAATTCTGTGGCAAACTACATTGAGATAGCCTAGTGATGCACTTGAAAATGGGGGGGGGGGGGGGGGGGGGGAGACATGTGTAGACACATTGTTATCTCGTTACAAGAATCAAATCACTCACTTTAAACACTGTTTAGCTTCTCCCCAATAAGCACCACTCAGTGACGCTTAACTTTGCTGAGAAAAAGTAATACAATATCTGTCTAGTATCAACAATTTGTCCTCAACTGATTTTTTTTAAAAAAAAACATGCTCACCAATTTGCTCCAGTTTATAGAGAGGGCAACTAAAGGTAGGGGAGCTGCTTCCCTAGAACAGGTTCTATTATTTAATAATTATTTCCAATATCATTTGATTCTCTATTATGTGATTTTCTATACTGTGTTATTAAAAATCTCAGAAAATAGCACACGTACAGGAGGAACAAACTACAGAACTACAGTAAAAAAGCTAAGCGGATTCATTCACCAGAAAGTTTTCAGCACAAGCACCACTGACATGAATGGGAGCTGTGCAAGAGCACCATAAAATTCTGATGCAGCTCTTATTTCAGTAAGGAGCTCCTGCAGGAGAACTTGCCACTGGAAGGCAGATCACACAGATGCAGCCTCATTCATGGAATGTAATCAAACGTGGGAGACAATTAAGACAAGAGAGATCAAGGAACAAAGCATTTCATGCAAATTAATGAGTGGGTGGGAATATTTTTCATCCTAGGGCAATTTTTTTTGCCAAGTATATTTCATTAATTCCCCTAGCAACATTTTATTTCTGTTCTTCCTTTTATTACTTTTCAATATTAAAAGTTTTTCTTGTTGTTGTTTTGTGCCATGGCATTTTTTATTTATTTATTTCCCATAGAAGTCAATCGCTGATGGGTATGCAGAGTGCACACAGCTTCTGTTAAGAAAAGCACTGCAGAGGGATTGAGAGTTTCTGTTACTTTGTAAAGCACTGTGAAAGCTATAGCAATAATAATAATAATCTCTAGGAACCTCTCCATTTTCAAAAGACAGATGCATATTTGGGGACTGCTTTTGCCCAGGAGAATCCAGATAATCAACAACAAGAAGGTAAAGTGGTAGTACTAGTTCCAGGTTTCCCAAAACTTCCACAATGACTGAAGTGCAGATCAAACCCATGGCCTATACCAAGTCTTAATGTCTCATGAACCACCAAGGCAAACTCAATGCACCAATCATATAAAATGCAGTCTGCCTTATGATTGAAACCTTTATTATTGCTTTCCCAGCAAGCACAAGGCAAAAATAAGATTTTTTAAATTAAAATATTTACACCTCACCTTTTCCTTGTGACTCAAGTTGGCTTGAATTGAACTTTGAAACAAACTGGGAGCCGATGTATGTAAAATAGATAAGGTGTGTTCCCATTGGCTAACCCTGACAATAATCAGGTTGCCACACTCTGAACTAACTGTAGTTTCAGGGCTGTCTTCAATGGCAGCTCCACATAGGACATATTACAACCACGAGTTACAAAAGCATGGATCACTGTGGTCAGGTTGCCTGGGTCTAAGAAAGGGGAGGGTTGGCAGATAAGACACTGACAGAAACCAATCCTGGCTACCACAGCAACCTGTTTTTTTTCCTAACAGCAAGTCTGGGAACATGATCATTCCCCAACTCTTTACTTGTTCTGCAAATGCCAACATTCCATCCAAAATAGATTCCATCCCTCCAAAGTCTTGTACTTTCTTAGGCACTTGACCATTTTATCAAGTCATTTGCAGACCATAATACATGACTAGAGGGCAGCTTTGAGTCCCAACTGGGAACAAAAGTGGAATGTAAACAAACAAATAAACAAATGCAAATGCATTATTTAGCTTGATGGGTCCCATCACACATCTTGAAGAACAAGAGGGAGCGAAAATACCAGTATAAGAAACAAAGAAAAGAGGAGACCTCGTAAGGTGTAAGACTTCAAAAAAGTGCAAGAAATTGGTTTCCTACAGCCCAATACACTTCAAGTCGAGATGTTCTTTGTGGCAATTGAATCGGTTTCTTCAGAAGGAACTGTTTAAGCAATTGTACATCTTAGCTATCTAAAGTAAAGACTGCCTAAGAATGTGCTGAATCTGCTACATCTCTGTGGTAATGTTATCTTGTCTTTCCTGCCCTGACCAACAGGCATATCTCCATATCACTAAAAGTTGGTCTAAGAGTGGTATCAGACAGACGAAAGCAACAGTACAAAGTAAACAGGCTCTATGATACCATTCCTTTACCAGACATTTATCAACATTCCTGTACGTATCCATTTTGATATAAAATTTGTGCACTTGCACCTACCTGTGACTGGGGCATCTATATCCAGCAAATTTTTTTCCTGACGGAGAATTGAAGCACCCTCTGTTATTATTCTCAAAGCAACACTCTCTTCCAGCCTTCCTTCCTTCATAAGGTGTGCCTTTAGGATATCCACTCGAGGTTTTCCATCATTGTCAAACACTTCCTTCGCTGTGAGCCGATGGCTTGGAGGAAATGGGACAGCTGCAAGAATAAAGATAGATTGGTTCAATACACTAAGTAAATCCATTTGTTCCAATAAAAGCAAAGTTTTAGCTCTGCTACTGGCCATCAGGTTGTTTTTCCCCAAAAAACCTCTCAAAGCTTATTAGACTATCAGTTAATAAGAATCTCGCCTGGTACAGTTAGCAACCTTCTTAAATTCTTTCATCTGTTTCATCTCGAGCACTATTATCCCCATTCTGCAAACAAAATAATGGTTATTCCAAAAGGGTCTGCAGACTGCAATGGATAAGGAAGAACGGAGGGCATCGCTTTTGAAAAGAGCCACACTTTAAAACTATTAATGGCAAGGAAAGACAACTTGGGTTACCCAAGACTCTACTTTGGCAATGTTTGGGCTTACCACCATATTTTTCAGCAATTGCTCACGACACAACCGTGGACCCCACAATAGCTTGGGTACTTCCTGTAATAGCTACAGTAGAAAATCAGACATAAGCACTGAGTGCACACCCCTTATACTCTTTAGAAAGCCTCTGCATAAAGCATACTAATGAACCTGATGTTTTGCAGACTGAATGCAACATTAAAACATTTCTGTATCAAGGGTTTACTGCAAAGCCTTCCGCTGTCACATAGCACAGATGGGCTTTATATTATAGAAGTCAGGAGACGGAGCTGCTTTCACTTTCCTGCTCCCAGCTGAAAACAAGAGAGGTGATGCTCTGGGTTTCGAGGATCAAGATGCAGCATTATCCCAGCTTAACCCCCTTTCCCAAGCAGCTAAATTGGAGTGGCATTAGAGGCCGGCTGCCTTGCCAGCTTCAGGGTAATTATACTGATCCCAGCTGCTGCTGTGGGTGGGTCAGATTATAGAAAAAGTGAATGAAAAGCTTTGGGAAGAATTCAGAATTGGGGTATGTACAGTATGTATGCAAGCCAGGCTTGCTTAGCTTCTGAGATCTTATGAGACCAGCTAGCCTGGGCTATCCAGGTGAGGGCACTTTACATGACCCAGAAAGAACCAGTCCAGGCAAGCAGAGCCAACAGACACTAGGAGTGAGAAGTAGCAGAAGAGAGGGCTCTCCCTTAAGTTTGGCTTTCCCCAACATGAATTTGTATCAAGCAGGAAGTGGGTTTTATTCACACAGATGTGTGTCTACCATATACAGACTCTCTTGTGTGCACCTAGTGTGCATCTTGCTGGGGCCACACCTAGTGTGCATCTTGCTGTGGCCACAACAGAATGGAGCATTTACACATCTACCTCCTGCCTTGGCCTGCAAGTTGGGATCAGTATGGCTGAGCTGACTGGCTCACTTCAGGTATTTCTGCATCCAGTATAAGGCATTAACAAAGGCAAAACTATGCTTCAAAACAGCAACAAGCTGCGGAAAAGGTTAATGTTTTTGCTTAGTGCTGTGTATGCTTGCATCACCAATGCTCTCAGCATAGCTATGGGAATAAGGTTCTTAATTAAACAGTCACTGTGGTGCCAGCAGAGGGGAACACAACACCGTTCTTGGCACGCACTACAGGCACTATTGTTTTCCCCTTTAGCTTCCTGATATTTCGTAAAACAGTTTGGCTTTTACTTATCTTACACAGCACCCAAGTTCAATATTTTTCTATACACACACTGGTGTAAGGCACATCTTATCTATGGGTCAGGACAGATTTACAAGTAATTTTGGCAATTCAGATTATTAACCCCAACCACAAACCTCAAATACCAAATTCTATGACAGCCTAGAACTTTGTTCCACAATTGATTGCCTCTGGCACATCACACGAACTGGAGTCTCAAGCTGTTCTCCATCACCATTGTCCTCAGACATTTCTTTGGTTGCTGTGGTGCCCCAGTCCTGGACATGGTGCTGCTTTCTGACAATACACACATGCAGCACATCATAAAAGACAGGATGGCTAAACTTGGAAACCAGCACAAATAGCTGGCACATGGAAGAACCAAGGGTAAAAGGGTGACCCATTCCACACTTTCTGGATCATGACTAGCCTAGAGAATTGGATGGTGACAATTCATTTGGCTATTATTATTAAGCCAGGACAAAAACTGCAAGGATTTTATTCTATTAGCAGCAGAATGTTGACATCTGAACAAAGTTATGTGCCACTGAACTTTATCCTCAGCCTCTCAACAAATGGTCTGCCTGGCCTATTCTGATGGGCTGGGCATACAACTCATTCATATATGGTGGCCACATCAATAGTGATGAATATTTCAATGTTTGAAATGATATGATTGTTTTCCTTCCATTGCAGATACACTAGTCAGTGAAAATATAACCTCAAGACCAGGGGTGTTAAACATGCAGTCTGTGGGCTAAATCCACCCCCCACAGGGCTTCTATCCAGCCCTTGAGCAACTAGCTCTCTCCTGCCTCCTTCTCCAGTTCTGCTACTGCTGCATCACTCTTTGCTTTGCCAGACTCTCTCAATGGCACAGAAGAGATAGATAGGCACGCCTCTGTTCTCTGCACTGATTGAGGCTCCTCTCCCTCCTCCTTCCAGGAGGAGGGAGGGAATGAGCCAGAGCTTGCTTTCTGCTTAGATCCCAGTCCTTTTCAGCACTGGCTCCCATCTTGTAGAATGGCCTCCCCAAAGTGGTATAGAAGGCACCATCTTCAGAAATCTTCAAGGTGTGCTGTAAGGCCATTTTTATTTGCTACAGTTTATAACAGGGTTTAAGCTCTGGGCACTTTCTCCAGGAAAGGAATCGACAGGCTTTTATTGTATTGTGTATGATTTTAAATTGGAATTTTGAGATGCCTTAAGCCACAACACAAATGTGGTATATCAATATTTTAATAAACAAGTATATTTTGTATTTGTCCATTTACTGGGCTATTAATTTCATGACTGGTTCATATTGTCCTGTTTGATCTGTGGATCTAATGGAGATACAGCTTACTGAATACATGAACACACACACACAAAAAGCTGCCTTATACTGAGTCATACTGTTGGTCTATCCAGATCAGTACTATCTTCTCTGACTTGGCAGCAGCTGTCCAGAGCCTCAAGTAGGGTCTTGCAGATCACTTACTACCTATTTCTCTTAAACTGGAAATGCCTGGGATTGAACTTGGAACCTTCTGCATTCCAAGAGGATGCTCTGCCACTAAGCCACCAACCCTCCCTACTAACTCATTTCTTTTTATAATTAATAACACTGCATTACAATATACCAACACTGTAAATGTTCTGACACACAATGATATCACAAATTGTTCCTTCACTAGCAGCACAAGTTCCAGGCCAACACCCTTCCATGAGCCAAATTTGCAGTTGCTTCTGACCCATATTATTCCCATTCTATTTTGCAAGAATTATTTCAGTATAACTAATAAATTTTCATTCTATAAGTGTCAATTAGATCTGCACCCCTTCCATATATACTAAGTATAAAAGGACATTTTAAAAATTCTACAGTTTTATGAACATTTAACTAACATGAATAAAATTATGAACAGAAGGAGAGGCTGCTGCCTGGCACTTAAATGGAATGATCTGTCTCTTTTATCCATGGTACTTTTCCTAAATATGTGAATGTCCAAGGGAAAAAATTGGGAAAACTGTGTTCTTGCCAGAGCTTCCCAAGACTTCATTTCAATTTTTCCAGTGAACATTGGAAAGTTTTGTTGAGTACTGGGGGAGAAATTCCCCTCCAATTGGAATAAATGAAATGTGCTAAGGTAGCATTGGGTGAAACATTCTGCAGCATTCGTTTTGGATGTGTTTGCAATTCTGCTCATAGAAAAGGAGTTAACACTTTTAAAATTCATAGATACATCAATTAATACAATTTTATATGTCAGCTAAGAAATTCTGCATTTTATGTTACAGCAGCAAAATCGGTTAAGTTTGAAAGGAAAGTTAGTATTGCCTAGATCATAATTGTCCTTGAAATTTAATTTTTTTTTCTCTTTAAGGAGATAATTTTTTTTTCCACCATGGCAACAAAATTTCTGAAAACTTTTCATTTCCAGCTACACCACAGACATTTTAATAGCCTCCCTTTAGGATGTCCACCACTAAAACATTGGACAGCAAAATATATCTGTTTACCTTTCAGCTTTTGACAATACAGTGTAGTCATCTTTTTTATTGTTCTGAACTAAGCAAGCAGCTCACATCCATCTGACATCAGCCAATTAACATATTTTTCCAGCTGCACCTGATTAATGATTAATTAGGCAAAGAAAACTACCCAAAGCCATGAGTTGCTAGGTTGCTGTTATAATTTGTACATACACAGGGTGTGTGTGTGTGTGTTTCATTTGTACACTGGCTTTAAGATAAACAGGACCAAATGAGTTCAAAAATGAAGTGGGGACCAGTTCATCCATGTAATTCATGTCATCATCACCAAGAGAGGACAGTAAAGAAACCCACAATATGCACGGCATACAAAACCTGGATTTTTGTTTATCTCTGGTATAAAATTACTTGCCCACATAATCACTCTTAAAGTGGACATAAGATTCTTGGCACCCAGAAAAAAATTACATACAACAAAAACTTTAAAACTATACTTAAATGTATTTGGAGTGGGGCTAAAATGGGAATTCATTAAAAAAACACACACAGAGAATGAAAAAGCTCAGGAGAGATGCTCAAGGTAAAAGGCAGGCATATAAACATTTCAAATAAATAAACAATTTTTAAAAAATATCAGGTGTAATGCATGTACAACACCTCCAAGATAAAAAGCAGCAAACTGAAGTTATTTATATTGCCCTTTAAGCAATATACAAGAGGGGAGGGGATTATGTCACTCTGTTTCAGACTTGCACATGGCATCTCCTGGAAGGCTCGGAACAAAAATAAACTACTGGGGATTACCTGACCTGCATAGCTCCTGCCCCTTGGGCACCTACTTCCCTTGAGGGTACAGCAAGGTGAAAACATACACTTTCTACCTCCTTGTGCATGCAAACCAGAACAACCAAGCTGTGCCTTTACGTCCTTCCCTTCTCAACTTTCTAGAAGCCCACCAA